TAACAATCAAGGATATCGACTACGTAATAAGAAAACTTCCTTCAAAAAAAAGCCCTGGTCCTGATGGCTTTCCAGCAGAATTCTACAAGACATTCAAGGAGGAGCTGATACCAATCCTACTGAAGGTATTCCAGGCTATTGAAAAAGATGAAACTCTCCCCAAATCATTTTATGAAGCCAACATCACATTGATACCCAAGCCAGGTAAAGATCCAACAAAGAAAGAGAACTACAGGCCAATATCTTTGATGAACATAGATGCTAAAATTCTCAACAAGATCCTAGCAAACCGGATTCAGCAATACATCTCAAAAATCATCCACCATGACCAAGTAGGCTTCATTCCTGGCATGCAAGGCTGGTTCAACATTCGTAAAACCATAAATGTAATTAAATACATCAACAGATGTCAAAACAAAAACCACATGATCATATCATTAGATGCAGAAAAAGCTTTTGATAAAATCCAGCACCCCTTCTTGATAAAAACCCTTGAACATCTAGGCATATGGGGAACATACCTCAAAATAGTAAAAGCCATCTACGAGAAACCCACAGCCAGCATACTCCTAAATGGACAAAAATTGGAACCAATTCCCCTGAAAACTGGAACTAGACAAGGATGCCCACTCTCTCCCCTCCTGTTCAACATAGTATTGGAAGTCCTGGCTAGAGCAATCAGAGAAGAGGAGGCAATCAGAGGTATTCAAATAGGAAAAGAGGCAGTCAAGTTATCTCTCTATGCAGATGATATGATGGTGTACCTCGAAAACCCAAGAGAATCTGTCAAAGGCCTCCTTACATTGATAAAGGCCTTTGGCAAAGTCTCAGGATACAAAATAAATGTACAAAAGACAATCGCATTTCTCTACACCAATAATAAACAAACAGAAACCCAAATAAAAAACACAATTCCATTCACAATAGCCACAAAAAAAATGAAATACCTTGGCATCTTCCTAACCAGAGACGTGAAAGACCTTTACAATGAAAATTACAAAACACTGCTCAAAGAAATCAAAGCTGACACGAACAAGTGGAAAAATATTCCAAGCTCATGGATCGGAAGAATCAACATTGTGAAGATGTCCATCTTACCTAAGGCAATCTACAAATTCAATGCAATACCCATTAAATTACCAACAACATTCTTCTCAGACCTAGAAAAAACAACACAGGAATTCATATGGAAACACAAACGTCCAAGAATAGCCAGAACAAACCTCAGCAAAAAAAACAAAGCAGGTGGTATGACAATACCAGACTTCAAACTTTACTATAAAGCTACAATCATCAAAACAGCTTGGTATTGGTACAGGAACAGGCATATAGATCAATGGAACAGAATTGAGATTCCAGAAGCAAAACCTCAATTTCTCAACCAACTCATCTTCGACAAAGCCTCCACCACCTACCACTGGGGAGAGGAGAACCTATTCAGTAAATGGTGCTGGGAAAACTGGCTGACCACATGCAGAAGATTGAAATAGGACCCCTATCTATCCCCATGCAGAAAGGTTAACTCCAAATGGATCAGAGACCTAAATGTAAAACCTCAAACCATAAGAACCTTAGAAAAGGAAGGAAATACTCTCATGGAAATCGGAACTGGCATCCAATTCCTGTACAAAACCCGAAACCCACAGGACATAAGAGAGAAGATAGACAAATGGGACCTTATTAAACTGACAAGCTTCTGCAGAGCCAAAGAAACCATCAAGAGAGCAGGGAGATAGCCTACAGACTGGGAAAAAGTATTTGCCAATTCTAGGTCTGACAAAAGCTTAACATCCTGGATCTACAAGGAACTGAAACGTACTGAAAAGAAGAAAACAAACAACCCCATTATAAAATGGGCAAAAGATATGAACAGACACTTCACAAAAGATGACATTCGAGCAGCCAATAAACACATGAAGAAATGCTCAACCTCACTAATCATCAGGGAGATGCAAATCAAAACCACACTGACATACCACCTAACTCCAGTCAGAATGGCAATTATCAACAACTCAAAAAATAACAGCTGCTGGAGAGGGTGTGGTGAAAAGGGAACACTTCTACACTGTTGGTGGGAGTGTAAACTAGTGAAACCTCTGTGGAAAGCAGTGTGGCGATTCCTAAAAGCTCTAAAAATTGACCTTCCATATGACCCTGCAATCCCCCTACTGGGAATATACCCTGAAGAACACAAATCACTCTATAAAAAAGATACCTGCACATGTATGTTTATTGCAGCGTTGTTCACAATAGCAAGAACCTGGAAACAGCCATGCTTCCCATAAAAAGAGGACTGGATTTTAAAAATGTGGTACATATACACGATGGAATATTATGCAGCCATAAAAAAGAACAAAATCATGAATTTCGCAGCAACCTGGATGGAACTAGAGTCTATAATACTGAGTGGCCTCTCACAGAAACAAAGATCCAAGTATCACATGTTCTCACTCATATAATGGACCTTGAACATCCAATGTAACACTATAGGAAAATGATTGACGGTACTGGGAAACTATGGGGGGGGAGGGGGATGGGATTAACAGTAGCAAATATCTGTCTAAGGATGGGAAAACACCTCTTATCAACAGGGTGCCTGAATGAAACGTAATTGTACACCTAACCCTTAACTGTACCCCACAAAACCATAATAAAAAATATTGATTAATAAAAAAAAGAAAGTGAGTCTACCAATATCTTACTTCAGCAAAGCCAATAAACTTTTGTGAGTGTTTGTATTAGCTAAGTAAAGAGTTATTTGTTTTCTAACTTACCTTTTAGTCTGCTCTGTGGGAGAACAAACACCATGTAAAACTAATGGAAAAAACCTTTCTCTGAAGTCACAGAATTATCATATTATTCATATTACTACCTGTGAAAAGAGCCTAGGAAATCATCCAGACCAAGCCTTCATTTTGCAGATGAATAAAGCAAATGTAAAAAATGTATTCATTGGGCATGATTATATACATGCTGTCACAGTGCCAAAATACAATCCAGGTTTCAAGAATACTTCACCAGGGCTTCTATTGACCATATGACACCATCGTCAAAGTAACTTAAAAGTTACTATGATTTCTCAAAGTTCTATTCAAGTCATATGTATATATATATATAGATCTATCTATCTATCTATCTATCTATCTTCTCAAGTTGCATTCTGGCATCATTTAATTTAGGATTTCAATGTTTCCATACTAATAACAATTTAGTACAAAGTCATAAACCTGACGTTTAGAACTCGTATGTCTCATCATATATTTTTCCACATGCCAGGCTCTACAATCTGTTTCATGTTTTTTCAACTTTGAGCTCCCACCAGAATGCCTCTCCATATCTGCATATTGATGATTAATGCCCACTGAAAGGCCACAACTTCCATGAAAACTGTCCTCAAATCTAATCAAAGAAGACAATGGCCCTCTGTATTTCTCCTAAGAATTTTATATCCTGCCTTGTCCTGCAGTAAAAACTGACTGCATTGGATGTAAGAACCTTAGGAATATGATGCTTACTTTTCAAGTCCTGTTCCTCCTTGCAATTAATACATACTTAAACTAAACTAAATGCCTAAGCTAAAATTTTCCATAAAGATTTTTCTTGAAGGTAGTTTCTAAGTGTCTGAAAATAGATGGGTTGGGGTAGGCATGAACTGGATGTACAGGACTCATGTTATTTTAAAGAGAGCCATGATATCAGGATATTTTGCAGTTATTGTCTCCTTTCTGGGTGCTTTTTTCTTCTTTAAAAATTCCTCATCCATTCCGTATAATGGCCCAGATCTTTTTTTACTGGTAGTGTAAAAACTTACAGGAGTGAAATTTAAGAGCTATAAGAAACATTTTTTAAAAAGGAAATTTTATATAAATACTAGTTTAGAAATATTCTGCAGCAAATTCAGCTTCTCTTTCAATTTTCAGAAACAAATGTACTGACAAAAGGTCAGAAATATAAAAAATCCATCTTATCATTTATTATTTACCAGTCGAAAGTAAAAGAATTTACCAGCGGATACTCTTTTGCTAAACTATTAAGCAATTATTCTAGGTCCATATTTCATCTAAAACATACAAGAATATTGTAACCTGACTGCATCCATAACATATTTTGGGTTAAATAAAAGGTGATCTATGGAATAGAGCAGTAACGCAAAACACTCAGGAGGTCTTTTTTTTCCTCTCTCTCTTCCTTTCTCTTAAGATTTCCCCCCCACCCATTTCAGAATAGGGAGACAACTCCTTATAATGAGTGCCTTTTGGCATTTATATATGGTTTGCTTAATGCACTGATGGCACTAATTTCATTCAAAATAAAAGTTCACCTGCACAATCTCCAAAGATCTGTTTGAGTTGTTGCGTATTCTAAGAGTATGGTTTTAGATTCCACGGAAAATAATACTTTGGACAAATAAAGTGATGATGAAGTTTTGTATTTTCTCAACTTTGGTGTAAACCTCTAAAGCCCCTCCCATGAAAACAACCGTCTCAAAACTACGCTGGACGTCCTGGGGGAATGATCTGGAATGAAAAGCGCATCAAGTGCTGGAGAACGGAGATACGAGAGAAAGATCAACTATGCTCTTTTCCCGAAATAAGGTATGACTTCGTAGCGGAGGAAAAGGGGCCAAGAGTGAAGTCTGGCAAAAGCACACTAACATCCACAGCCGGGGTCCTTAGCGGGAAGAACTCGGAAGCCCGCGCTCTGCAGCTCCCAACTTTCGGCTACGCGACCAGAGACACGCAGAGGGCCGCGCCTCCCCGCTGAGCTTGCGTGTGTAACTGCGCGATTCTCTTCCTCCGCCCACAGGGTCTGGGCGTCCGTCCTCACCCGCTACAGCTTGGTCAGCAAACAGCTGATCCGGCGGCCTCCCACCCCCTAGACGGTCCACGCCTACCGCCGGCGACCCATTTCGCGCCGACCGGAAGCACTTTTGCCCTGGCTTGCTGGTCCCCCAGCGAGTGCCAGCAGGAACCGGAAGCTCTTCTGCCCCGATCGCCGGAGCGCGGCCGCGTTGGCCGCACAGGCGCAGTGGGCCTCGGGCGGAGTGGGGCGGGGGGGAGGAGGAAGAGGCGGAGGGGGGTACGGGGGCAGGTCCCAGAAGATGGCGGAGGCGGGGGTGAGTTGGGGGCTCCTGGCGAAGCCCGGGTGACGTGGTGCTGAGGGAAGCGACCTGAGGACGGGGGTGTCCCTCGGAAAGAAGAACTACTTGTGGTTTTGTAGCCCGAGAGCCCTGGTGGCAGGTGCGGGGAGCCAGGACCACAGATGGGCCTGCAGGGTGAGGGGCTCCGTTTACCTGGAGAGGGGCTCGCGAGGTCCAGTAGGGGACAGCTGGGTCAGGGAGAGGTCATAGATACGCCGAGGCTCCCTGGACAGTGGAATAGCGTCGGAGTGGGAAGAAGGCTGGAGGACGGCGGGCGGACAGGGCGACCCTGGAGGTTTTGATGAGGGGGAGGTCCCGAGCTGTCAGGACTGGGGTGGCTTATATCCAGGAAGACAAGAGATTTAGCTTTGGGCGGGATATGGATCCAAAGAAGGTAGGTATCGGGATCCGTTTTGAGTCCACCAAAAAGATGCGGCATGGGGTTTAGGAGTGGGACTTTTGCATTTTTAACTGGAATTGGATCCCTTTGGAGTAGGTGTGTGGATAAAGCCAAAGAGCACTCTTGCCAGGCAGGGCCTGGAAGTCGGTGGATAGTTCCTGGGATTTTAGGATCGCTCAGTGGGGACTGGCTGTATGGAGAAGGGAAGCAGTGTGGGTTAGAGGGGTGGGGGCGGGGAAGGGTGCTCACCCTTAAGTGATAACGACCCGTGTCCTGTTAACATTGGAAAAAGTATGATATTAGCCACGTCGTCTAGGAAAATGTGCCGCGAAGCGCTTGCTGCTTTGTAGGATTTGTGAAGAAGCGCTTTAAGAAGAAACGGCTAGGCTTAGCAGCTGGGCCACTGAAACTGTCTGGCATCAGTATCGCGGTGGAGCTGAGGACTGCAGGGGAAGACGTGCTCCAGTCTGGTGCAGAAAAAAGTAAAAGCAGCCAGGCACTAGCTAGATTGTGTATTCCAACTTTGGGGTTTGGCCCGGATAGTGAACCACCAATGAAGGCCTCACGGCGGTAGGGGGGAAAAATGAGCTGTGTAGGCTTCCTGTTTTCCCGCCTTCATTCTTGCTCTGGACTTTGCGCTCATTTGTCATGGTGTGTTATGTCATAGTTCTCAGTTCATATGTTGTATGCATTGACCAAGCTGTGAGTCATGTACGTTTGGGAAAGAGGCTGATTCTTTTTAAACTGGCAACTGTTGATTTTGCAGATAGTCACCGTGAAAACCAAAGGAGAAAATACAGTTCAGTAATTTGAAGACAGTTTGTTTTCACTTTTGGCAGAAAGTGATCCCCAAATGATGGAGTAACTTTTTAGTCACCGAGATTTGACATTTCAAAGCAACGATGGGATGGAAATGCTGCTGGCATAATGCTTTTCTGTGTCTGGGTTTTAATGTTGAGAGGAAGGAGTTGCAGTGTCTTTAAGGCAAACACTTTTTTCTTCCTAGAAGTTTTTAATGTCTCTAGCCCGTGCTTTTATTTAAGGGGAGTTAAACCATTTCATTGATTTAAGTGTGTTTTTTTCTAATGTTCGTGCTTGTTTTATTTGGACAATGCCATTCTAATTAAGAGCGCATGTGATGAAAAAGATGTGAGGTAGTAATTTAGCTTTATTATTTAGAAGCCTGTCTGATATGAACACCAGAAATGACAGAGTAATCTGAGGGAACCGACATACATTCATCTGTGAGTGCTAATCATTGGAAGATGAATGATCTTGTTTTTTGGCTTTAGGGGGTGTTGCAGTTGTTAAAATGCTACCGGTTCTTAAGGTTACTAGGAGATTTTGTGTATGTGTTTGTTTTCAGATAAATGCCTGTTGCCTACAAGTTGTTTCAGTGACCAACATAAACTTCGATTTTTGTTCGCAAAGCCCTTATAACCCCCTTTTATTTATCTAAAAGTTAGGCTATCAATCCATTAGTAGGCAGTTGATGATTTGTCATTGATCTATTCAAATTGTTTGGACTAATTTTGTTCAGTAATGTATTTCCTAGAAACTGTAGGTCAGGGTGAAGGTAGAATTTTTCATATCTTGTGGGAAATTTTTCTTTGTGAATTGCTGAAAACATTATTTTGACATTGATTGCAGTTTATCTGTGTAACTTTAAAAACCATTTCTTGTTTGGCACTGAAATTGTTTTTGTATCGTGTTTGCTGGTGGAGGCAAGGTAGTGAAGTAGAAATAACTCTGGACGTAGAGTGAATGGACCTGGTTCTGGTGCTACCTGGTAACAGTTTTGTGATCTTAGAAAGTTATTCAGTCTATTTTATTTTGCAAAATGGGGATTAAAAGCACCTGCCTATTTACCAGGATTATTGATGAGAATCTATTGAGATACTGTTCTTTAAACAATATCTTGATACCAGCAACTTCTTTCCAGGTCAGTAAATTATTTGTCGAGTAATCTAAATTTTTTCAAATATGTATATTTTTTTAATTTTTTGAGAATCAAATTTGTCATTAATGTAAGAGTAATATTTAAAGATATAGACACTTTTAGTTTTAAGAAAATAATATCAATACATAATCAGAAAAACAGACTTCAAAATAAACTTAAATTAAGGGATACTTATTCCTCACAGCTTGCCCTTTAAAATAATCCACTCCCCTAATGTGTGACTGATATTATAAACATGTTTTTTTAGGAATTTTACTGTTGTATAGTAGGGAGTGAAATGGTTTTGTGGAATTTGCTATTCCTTTGATGAGTCTGGTCGGTTTTTAGCATTCTCTGTACATGTTTGTGGGATAAGACCCATTGGTACAGCCTCGATCTTGTCCGTTCACTTGACCATTCTGCATCTCATTTGGCCTTGCCAGTAAATTGAGAGACCACCGGTTCTTAACTTTTACTTTGTGTGGATCATGGACTTTTTTGAATACTCGATATAAATTATGGAACTCTTTTCCCAGAAAAATGCACATATACATAGTATTTTTGTTTTGCTTTGCATGGGCCTCATATACCTCTGGAATAGATGCTCCCAGATCCTTGCTATTTCTTATAGCTTTTATTTTTGTCTCCAGTAATGATATATTATTATATTATGATGAAGTTACAAAACTAGCCTTTTGGGTCTCATTCAAATAAACATCAAACAAATGTCTTATTTTTTAAGAAAATTTTTGAGATAAAGTAGAAAACTATAAACAAGCACTGCCAGGAAAGGCTGAATAAACAGCTGGGGTAGAAAACATAAATAGTTTAGAAATTCCCTAGCAGCCTCGAGATAGAATGAGGAAAGAAAAGTCTAGCAATCAATGGCTCTCATTTGGAAGACAGTGCCTCCCTGGGGGCATGTGGAAATAATGTGGGGACAATTTTGGTTATCACAAACGGGGGAGGGGGAATTTAGTGGACAGGAGCCAGGGATGCTAAATGTTTTGCAATGCTTACAGCGGTTTCACAAGACAAAGAATTGTCCTTCCCAAAATGCCAATGCCTTTTGACAAAAGCTGCAGAGTGTGAGATGGAGGTTAGCATGACTGAAATAGCTTTTTAAAACTGAGGTTATTTTGCTCTTTTAAAAATATTAATAAACTCTTGAGAAATCTTAATACTATTTTCCATAGAGGCTATATTAAGTTTACTAAGTTTAAGTAAGTCTAAGTAAGAACTAAAGATAGATCTACTATTTGATCCAGCAATCTCACTACTGGGTTCCCAAAGGAAAATAAATCATTCTATCAAAAAGATACCTACACCCGTTATATTTATCCCAGCACTGTTCACAATAGCAAAGATATGGAATCAACCTAATTATCCATCAACAGATGATTGGATAAAGAAAATATTTAAATAAATATATATATAAATAAGTGTATATATATATATATTTAAATGAAGGGGACCCCCCCCAAACCAGAATTGTCTCCAAGGTGAGTCTCTTGTAGTTCAGGCTTCTCCTGCTAGGTAAGTGTTCTAGGAACGCATCAGCATCAGTGTGCCAGCTAGCCTTGTTGTGAGAGGCTGTGTGAAATTTTTTTGGAGATTCTTTCAACGGCTTGCCCATTTCATTATGGGTGATTTGTGAGCACACCTGCCCACATTAAACTGAGTGTTCTGCAGTTTTGGACCTAAACCGCATGATCCCCATGCCTCACCCTTCCTATTCACATGATCTCACTCAGAGTGGCTTTTTTGTTGTTGTTTCCTTGCCTTGACAATGGCAAGGAAAGGAGGACTGGTGTTATCAACACCCAAGAATGCAGTTGCTGATTTTTTTCACTAGCCCTGCTTCCTTATAGAAACTTTAAAAGCCCTCTCTCCTTAAAGCATATGCCATGCTTATCTGTGAGTGTTGGCCCCTTTCTGTCTGTGGAAAGTGGATAATAAACTTTGTTTCTTTCTTTTTGAAAAAAACAAAACAAAAAAAGGAAAGAAGGAAGGAAGAAAAGAAAAAAAAGTCCTCAAAGGGAAACGTTTTGCTGGCGTGGAAGAGGTGAAACAAAAAAACAGAAGCACTAAAAGTCATCAAAACCGATGAGTTCAAAAACTGTTTTGAGTAGCAAAAAAAGTGTCTTGATAGATGTATTGCATCAAATGGAAAGTACTTTGAAGGTGACTAGAGTTTAAACATGTAAGAATAAATACACAATTTTTTGTAAATTCTGTGTTTTGGGGTCCCCCCTTATAACATGCGATGGAATACTACTCAGCTATGAAAAAGGATGATATCATGTCTTTTGTAGCAACATGGATGGACGTGGAGGCCATTATCTTAAGTAAAATAACTCAAAGTGCCACATGTGCTCACTTGTAAGTGGGAGCTAAATAAAGTCTCACATGGACATAGAGAGTAGACCTTGGAAAGGCAAGAAAGAGAGGAGGGTGGTGAGGGATGAGAAATTATTTAATGGTTACAATGTACACTATTCAGGTGCAAGCCACACTAGAAGCCCAGCTATGTAACAAAATGAAACTTGTGTCCCCTAAATCTGTAAAAATAAGAAAAAATTAAACATAATGTGATCTTTGCCATTAATTTCCTTTTGGAAAAATTTAGAAACAGAAACACATGATTTATTAGAGCAATTTTTGTTACTTGAAATGTGTATTCATCCTCTAATAGCTGTTTTTGCAGCACAGTGTGGGAAGTTTACTGTGTTTACGGGGATTCTACGAAGTTAAGAGTCAACAGTTGCTCTCATACAATGTGTAAGTTAGCCTCCTAATTTTTTTTTACTTGAAAATATCTTTTTACACCTTGATCTAGTACTTTTAAAGAAAATTTCAAGGTGTTTGTACATTTATTCTCATTGTCTTTGTGCTATTATGTAGTACCTACTTAGATTGGCCTAGTACCTTAGAATATATTATAGCTGTGATGGTTTTTTGATGTCTACCCATCTCTTCAATAACCAAATATCTTCATATTGACCCTTGAACCAAACAAGAAATCTGAGCAGTTGGGGTGGAATGGGACTCAAGGTGTAGAGGAAAGGGGATGGAATTAGTTAGACCCTAGGTAAAATCCCACTTCTAATACTGTGTATCATATGACCATAAGCAAAGTGCTAAATAAATCTCTTTGACTTAGTGTCCTTATCTGTAAAATAAGGATGATAATTGTTACCTTTAGGATTATTTTGAAGATTAAAGTTGCTATATGCCTGACTCAGAGTGGGCCCTCCATAAATGGGTGCCCTCTCATCGATTGTGATGATGAATTCTGTAGCTATTCGCACCTTGCCCAAGGTGACTAGAGCACTTGTTGTGCTAATATGCCTGGACACCACAGCAAAGAATAGTCTGCAGGACCAGGTCAGGAAAAGATGTTTTCTGGGCATTATCAGTTAGCATCTAGAATATATTCATGAATCAGCTGTACTGTGTACTATTTTTTCTAGTCTTCTGAGCCATAGAGCTTGGTTATACTATAGACTAAGTAAGCTCATGAGGACTAACTTGGGGATAGAATTCCTCCTTGAGCATAGGACACAGACCTTTGGGTGTGGCAAAGGCTCAAGTAAAAAAAAACTGTTGCACATGCCTGTAATTCCGGCTACTCGGAAGGTTGAGGCGGAAGGATCGCTGGAGCCCAGCAGGTCGAGGCTGCGGTGGCCGGGAGCGGCCACTGCACTCCAGTCTGGGCGACAGAGTGAGACTCCAACTCAAAAAAAAAAAACAAAAAAAACTGTTGTGTTAAGTGTTTCAAATGTGAAACTGATAGGCTGTGAAAGTTACTAGTATATTTTCATTTTCATACTAATTATTTCTAATTCAGCCCCATTCTCTGCAGTTTACATGTGGGTTTTGTTCCCAGATCTATTTGGAAGGACGTTTGAGACTTGGAAACTCGGAGGAAATGTATGTGCTTTAAATGATGATTAGGAGCTAGGTTTGCCTTCAAAAAAGCCTGCTTAACTCCACAGTTAACTCTTTTTAAAAGAGTTAACACAATTTAATTAAATAAATATAAATATGTGGTGCTTCACTCTGGGCTAAGCAGGAACTTTTCTAGGTGTATAGACACAGTGGGTTATATAATAGTGAATAAGGCCTGCATAAAAAGTTTATAGTCTATAAAGCAACTATACCTGTAATTATAAGATAGTTATAAGTGCTGTACTAGGATTTTAAATAAACTGCTTTGGGATTCAAAGGAAATATGTTTATGTACTGACTTGTGAAGGTACCTAAGATATATTGTTGTTGGGTGGGATAAAAGTAAATTACGAAAATAGCCTGTATAGTTTTTTCCCATTTAAAAACTGTTAGTATTTATAGAAAACACGACAGTTTGGGAGGCTGAACATCATGGTAAGAATGAGGACTTTGGAGTCATGGATTTGAATCTCAGCTTGACCTCTTACTAGGTCAAGCAACTTAAACTTTCTTTGCTTTTTTGCCTCTTGTGTAAAATGGACATAATAATTGCACTTACCTCTTAGGGTTATGATGAGAGTTAAATGAGTTGCCATATGTCAGGTGCTTAGAACAGCATACAGAAAGCCCCAAATGTTACTTGTCTTAAACATGCACAAAGGAAAGATCACTTTGGTTAGAGGACTGGACCAATACCTAGAATGACTGCAGTAGCAAAGTTCTGGGTTTTAGGAGTCAGGGGCCAACAGGATAAAATTTGTTAGACTCTATCAGTTAGATTATTCTTCAGTTCCTTAGCTTCCTTTCTTCTGTTTCTTCCTCTGGCTTTCTCTCAATTGCTTCCATGAGTGTTAATAAGTGCAGATTGGATTGAGGCAGGGGTGGCACATGGCCGTGGCCCTGGGCAGAGCGAGTTAGGTCCAGTTCATGTGGTCGGTGTATGTGTGGTGTGTGCATAGTAGTCTGAGTTTGATAGAATGCTTTTGTGCCGAAATTCAAATATATACGCACTAAACATTAAAACAAGTCATCGCGTTCTTCTGTGGAGGTTGTCCTCATGTGCAAGTCACGTTTTATTGTGAAAAATATAGCATTTCGGTTAGCACATGTTGATTTTCTGTACGTGTAACATATTCTGTTGTAACCGATGAGCTTGGAGAATTAGAAGAAACAGAACTGGATTTTGATCTTACAGATTCTAGTGTGTCTTAGATTACCTGTTCCACTTATATCTGAGGTGGAACAAGCTATTTTAACTATTGTTCTAATCTTTAGGACTCTTGGGTCACTTATTTTGTCCTAGTAAATGTAACACTTTAGTTTTTATTACATCATGCATATAAAAATACTTTTAAAAACTTTTTAAAAATTCAGTAAATAACTAATTTAAGGTAATTTAGTATGCAAACTTATCATTTCATTATTTGTCCTTTTAAATGAACTATTATTGAAATAAGAAAGATTATAATAATGTATCAGATGTGCATTGATTTATTTTTTCTTATCTCTTGCAGGATTTCTGGTAGGTCCTATTCAGGACGACATGTCGTGGTACTGTTGAAACTTCAGTCTACCTTGATTCACAGACAGTTGAGCTTCTCAGCTGGGAAGACTTTTTTTTTTCTCCTGGCTTACTGAACTTATGAAACCATGGCAGAAGGAGAGACAGAGTCACCTGGGCCCAAAAAGTGTGGCCCATATATCTCATCTGTCACTAGCCAGAGTGTAAACTTGATGATTCGAGGAGTAGTGCTGTTTTTTATTGGAGTATTTCTTGCATTAGTGTTAAATTTACTTCAGATTCAGAGAAATGTGACGCTTTTCCCACCTGATGTGATTGCAAGCATCTTTTCTTCTGCATGGTGGGTACCACCGTGCTGTGGCACAGCTTCAGGTATGTGTAGGGTGTTTCTGGAATGCTTAGAAAGGCAGTAGGGTAAATGAGTGTGGATGTTGTTTGAGCAATAAACTTTTTTTTAAAAAGTCAGTTTTATTAAGGTATAATCTAGATACAGTGCAGTGGACCTATTTTAAGTGAACAACTTGCTATGTTTAGGCAGATGCATTCAGTTAAGTGATCACTGCCACACTCCAGCTATTGAGCATTTCCGTCACCCCCCAGCTTCTCTTGCCCTCTTCCCATCCATTCCCCAGGCTACCGGTGATCTGCTTTCTGTTGGCATAGATTATTTCTGCATGTTCCAGTGTGTAATGTATATGGAATCATAGAGTATGTACTCTTTTGTGTCTGATTTCTGTCTGATCTGTGAACTGTTACAATTTAACCCTAAAAACAATTGTGTTGCCCTTAAGGACGAGGCATCTAACCTCTTTTTTTGTTTTTTGTTTTGAGTTGGAGTCTCACTCTGTCACCCAGACTGGAGTGCAGTGGCCGCTCCCGGCCACCGCAGCCTCGACCTGCTGGGCTCCGGCGATCCTTCCGCCTCAGCCTACCAAGCATCTGAACTACAGGCGAGCGCTACCACACCCGGCTAATTTTTTGATTTATTGTACAGATGAGGTCTGATCAAGTTGCCCAGGCGGGTCTCAAACCCGCGGGCTCAGGCAATCCACTCACCTCAGCCTCCCAAAGGCACGGGATTACAGGCTGAGCCACCGAGCCCAGTGGCATCTAACCTCTTAATTTTGTCCTTTCTTAAACCTCTCATGTTATTATTTTGATGATGATCACCACTTTAAAGGGTTTGATGTGTGTCTTGCTTTCACAGTAAATAAAAACTTAAAAATGGAATAATTTTATTCAAGTTTAAAACTTCATCTTGTATTATATATATTTTTGGTTAAATTTCTTTCCCTTGATATCTTTTCACATGTACGTTAAGAATAATAAATTTTTAAAGAGAGCAACAAGTTAAACTCTTTTTGTTTAAAATTGTTGTTATCCTGTTAGTTACTTGAATCTCTTTTTGGTGGTGGACAGTGTGTAATAGGTAGAGTGGAGGATTTTAGTCGGAATGATGCTCCACTTCTACAGTGGCTTTTGTTTAAGCCATAATCATGTGGTGGAAGATTATTCCGATTGAGGGAGAAAAATTGCCTTTTTGAATATCCGTTGGTATCTCATACTTGCATATACATGAATACTTTGCAACATAACATAGGTCCTTCTTGATTTACATCAAAGAGCTAGAGATCAAAGTTGTGAGATGTTTTAGAATCACTTCATGAAAGCTACTGGACAATTACATAATCCTGTTGCATGAATAGAAGAGCATTGTTGTGGTAAGGTTTCAGTGTGGTTTATGTATTGATGTCTCACCATTACAATATTCACATTAAAAGAACAGTCATAAAGGCAATGATTCTTTGTTTCCCCAGGGTTATTATTCTCTAAGGGAATAGACAAAATAGTCTAAACAAAGAGAAGAAAGAATAAATTATATTTTATCACTCTTTGTGGTATGTCCTAGTCCTCATGCATTTTCTTTTCTTTTACCTTGATTCAGAAGAGAAAAATAAAGTTTTCCTAACAACTTTTTCTAGTTCTTTATTTTTTCCTGTGGTATAGTCTCTGTCTGGATGCCAACAGAAGCTTTTGGGGACTTGGAAGAACATGTCTTTTCAGGATAGACAAAAATGTCAGAGAAGGGAAACTGTTGCTTACGAATGTCTGCTAATGTGCCATGGACCTCCCTTAATCCCGGAGCAATTTTGGGAGAGAGACAAAGACCCTGAGGTGAAGAGAGGAAATCAATGAGCCCAGGGTCCTGGGGCCAGTGAGTGCTGGGCCTGGGCTCAAATATCACATGCTGGGGAAGGGGAGAGAGGAAGCTACTTTTGCTTCCCCTTATGCAGGATGTCTTTTTTCAAGCCTCCAGACTGGAGGTGCCAGACCTGGCTGGAATACCCTGGAGTGGGCTGTGTTCTGGGGCAGAACAGGATCATGTAACCGAGTTTTCATTATGCCTCTTTGTGGAAAGGAATGCGGTTGCGTCTGCTGCCTGGTCCTTCTGTTCCCATAATGTGGGCACTTTTGCCACAAACTCACATTTAGGAAGGAAAATTTCAGATACTACTGCAGTTCAGCCACTGTAGTCCTACTTTCCTTCCTATTTCTAGCCATTGATAAATTTAACCTCATGCCTTTTCACTGGGGGATTTGCATTTACATTTCTTCGGAAATATTTCTTCGGAAAGCAGTACCATAAGGCAGGAGTTCCCAACCCCTGGGCCATGTGCAAATATTGGTCTGTGGCCTGTTGGGAACTGGGCCACACAGCAGTTGGTGAGTGGCAGGCAAGTGAGCAAAGCCTCATCTGTGTTTATAGCCACTCCCCATTCCTGCTTGAGTTCCACCTTCTGTCACATCAGCTGCAGCGTTAGATTCTCATAGGAGTGTGAACCCTGCTGTGAACCGTGCATGTGAGGGATCTAGGTTGCACACTCCTTATGAGAATCTAATGCCTGATGATCTGAGGTGGGGCCAAGGCAGTGATAGTAGCACTGGGGAGTGGCTGCAAACACAGATTAGCATTAGCAGTGAGGTTTGCACATGTCCTCCCCACCATGCGTGAGAAAATTGTCTTCCGTGAAACCAGTGCCAAAAAGGTTGGGGACTGCTGCTCTAAGGTGCCTGGGCAAAAGAAAGTAGAGTGGCACTTGGAAATCTAGATTCCAGATAACTCTGTTACCGATTTTGTTAGGTAAGTCATGACGCTTAGCAGATGAGAGTGAAGATACAAGATTTGAAGTTGCCAAAGATGGAAGATGTATTCTTGCATAACCTCTGCTTTCCAACCCATCCATCTTCACTTTAGGAAAAGCATTAAGGGAAGGGAAGTAAATGACATAAGAACCACAGTGTACATGAGTTTGTGTGTGAATGTGGTGCATATGTGTTTTTGTATATATGTGTTTGTATGCATTTTCAGAGCATCTCTGGGTTCTTACATCATAAGTCAGAAAAACCGATAATCATCTTTTGATTTTTGTAACTGAAAATCAGTTAGATGTTCCAACTGACACTCATAGATTGAGCAGCTACCCTCTGGAGGGGCTCCAGAAGTACTAGTTTCTAAGTGTAAGCTGAAGGGCCCCTGGGTATTTGCTATTTTTGCCTATAGCACGGCCCTGGAAAATTTGCTAGTAGTACTTCTGTAGGGACAACTGATAGAGAACTCTGGTCAACATCTTTTGATCTCATTTTCTTTTACAAGTTGAGTAACTTTTTATGTTTGCAGTGCACTAGAATTGGAATTAGAAACCTCTTAAGCATTATTGAGGGCCACAGAGGAATCTTTCTAAAGAATAAATAGATAACTTGTTGTGTGGGTAAAATGAGAAGTTGCCTCAAAAATCTCAAGTAGCCAGGTTGTGTCCAAACCTATGAAAGTAATGTCTAATTTTAAAAGAAAAAAATATTTTCCATGTCATTATGCAGTGTATGATCCCATTCCTGGAGAGCCTTATGAGGCTCCTCCCTCTCTCTCGCCTCTCATATCTAGTTTTTAAGTTTTACATCTCTCCTCTGTCTCTTTCTTGACAGAGGAGGTCTCTTTCTTGACAGGTTCGGGCCCTCAACCATTGCACTTGGAGTCTTTATCTTTTTCTTTCTGTCTCTAATTTTGTGCCCACCCCCTACCCCAGGCACCTCGTGTACACTCACTGCTGGCAGAATGATGGTCTCCCTCTCTGGTATAAATGCGTTGGCATTCTTTTCCTGATTGCTCAGTGTCTGCAGGGTAGAGTCTCTTTATGATATGCGTCTTGCCTACTTTTATCCTCAGAGTCTTTCTGGACCCGGAAGCTCCCTTTGTGCCCAAATCTCACAGTTTCCAGGTAGCACTGCTTTCATTGACAATGCTTGTCCTCAGATACCTCCCTTTGATGAGAAAGCCATTCCCATACCATTCCTGTCTCAAGGATCACCTCTTCTGTGAAGCTTTTCTGACAGCCTAGCACCCCATCTCCCCCACCCTGAAACATGCAAGAAGACTGGGACCCCTCTGTGTCCTATTAGTGCTCTTCCTAATGTAGGATTGTGTCTAATTGTTTCTTTGGTCACTTTGTAACTGGAATCACGTCTTACTCTATTGTCTTTTTTAAGTCCTTAGTAAATAACAAAAATCAGACATGTTGTTGGAGCTTAAGGATTTGTTGAAGGAAAACATTACCTTGTCATAATTTTCCATGAAAGTGTACCTTACTGAGTGGTTTTGTTTCTTCAGCCACTTTTTCCTTGCAAAGTTTTTTGATTTGGCTGTGTTCCTTTTAGTGTCTGACTGCATTTAGCACACTCCGATGAAAAAGGGATGACTTACTACTGATGTTTTACAAACATCTTCTGTCTTGAATCTTGGTAGGCTATAATTAGTTGCTCAAGGATATCACAAGAAATGTGATTTTGCATCAGAGAACCATCTGATTAGATAGTGCTGTGTTTGCTTATAGTTTTACACAGGCATGGTTTTAATGGTCTCTCTTGTTAGAAGAAAGTATAAGAGGAAAAGAAGCACAGACACATTGTGCTGAGCTCTCAAGCAGTGGAGCCTCACAGTGCTGTGTATATTGCTATCAGACTCTGCCATGCCTTTATTTAAAGGAAAGAAAGAAGACATTTAATGGGAAATGACAAGCTTCCTTGAATTCTCCCTCTCAGTGAGCAACCGAGAACCATGCATACTCAATGCATTTGATTTTTATTGGCAAATCCCAAGGTTGGCAGTGTGGCAGTTTAAATTCCTTTTTGTGTTTTGCTTTCTCTCCTCAGTTGTCTCTCACTAGCAAGTCTGACATCACATGCATAAAAATATAGTCAATTTTACTTATTTATATCTTTGCACACACATGTCAGTATTCTCTATGTGATAATTCTTTACCTATGGCATCAACTGCTGAAGAAAATTGTCTTGGAATGACTGCTCTTAGTTGATTTTGCTCAGCAGCAGGCAAAAGAGAATATATATTTATATTTAATATGTGTGTATATATATGTACCCACACACATACACATACACACACAGAGAGAGAGAGAGAGAATATATGTGTGTATATAAAGAGAATATATATGTGTGTGTGTGCGTGTGTGTATAGAGAGAGAGAGAGAGAGGAATGACAGATGAGCTGAGCTGTTTCATGACCTCTTGAGAAAACAAAAAGAGGTGATATTCATTTAGATATATTTCAATTGTTATGCATGGTTGTGGCTATTTTAATTGTGTAGAAATTTAGAAATGTCAGTTAATCTCAAGATTTTAGAGCAGTCTTTTAAATTAATATAATGGGAAACTTTTAGATTTACTAATAGTTGTTGGAACTCTGCATTGTTGAGATAAATTGTTGATCTTTTGGTAGTCTGTGAGCCATCTGGATTCAGAAAATGCTGAACTCAAAAGAGTTGTATGCTAGAAAGTGCACAGTATTCCAGCACCTCATTTTCAGATTCAAGAGTGGTCATGCAGCCTCTTTCAAATGCTGTATCATTGATATACTAGCCTGTGATTTTTTGGTATTAATTGGTTTCTGTTTTTCTTTGAATATTGAATACAGCACTTGTGAGCTATAGCTAGCCAATACTGTACCAAGTGAGGGGAAAGGCTGCTGACCCTCAGGCACTTAGAATTTAGTAAAATAATCTCATGATACATCATGGTGGCATTGGACATTTTAAACATGCTTTTCAGCTGATACGACAGCAGCATTTTTATTACCAGAACAGCAGCATAATCATTCTGTTTTTAGAAAGATTAGCAAATCAAAGCTGCCTAGCTATTTCCTGTTAAATTTAATCTGTGGAAGTATATTTTCTTTGTAGTTTGTTGAAGATTGTTGTGGTTCATTAGTCTTTTTAAATGACTAATCTAGCATTTAAACTCCTCTCTCCCACTAAATAAATAAAATGTTGAGGTTTGAGAAATATTTAAGATTTGAATGAGAATATTTTGGGACTCAATCATAGACATTTTGTATTCGGTTATTTATAATTAATTATGCAGTCAGCATTCAAGATGTTCTTTTCCAAACTAAGAAAAATATACTAAGGTGATTTTCTTTTAACGTAAATTTTAATTTTAAATGAAATTTTGTAATTCCTATAGACTTTGTTTCCTCCATGTATATATTATATATGTGTTAATATGCAGAATGAGCCTTATGTATAGATTTCTGTTGTGAACTTTCTTGCTTTGGCAGTATGACCTACGGTTGATTAGAGGGTGTGGGGAGAAATGAATGAGTGAGGTGCTAACTGCAGAAGACTGAGATGAGAAGCTGGTTGGAACATTGTATGTGTGATGAACTTGTTGTACATGTTTATGCTTTTAGATTTAATTTGTATTTGTGGCATTTAATAGTGTATTTCATGGTTATGTAGCTTAGAAAGAACATTGCTTAACTGCCAACTGGTTTGATGCTTTTTAAGTCTCATAGATATCAGTAGTAGAAAAGTAGCATGAATCATCTAGTCCAGTCTGCTAAGTTGTGAGTCATACATTTAGAGTGTTTTGCCTATAATAAGTTAGAATATTGTTGTAATCATTTATAGTGCTCTCTTCTGAATTGTTGTTTTCTTTCTTTTGGAAGGTAAGTTTAAAAATATCAGTGACTGATGTTAAGTAACTTGAGTTTTTTGGTTTTTTTTAAGTATCGTTAAATGTTTATGGTGTTTGTAGTGATTCTTTTAGTGTAAGTGTTGCCAGTATAGCATTGGAGATGACTTAATTTTTTTCTCTTGTTTTTTTCACAGCTGTGATTGGGTTATTATACCCCTGCATTGACAGGCATCTGGGAGAACCACATAAATTTAAAAGAGAGTGGTCCAGTGTAATGCGGTGTGTAGCTGTCTTTGTTGGTATAAATCATGCCAGTGCTGTATCCTTTATGCTGTAATGAAATGCGTAATAACATAGCAGTTTCCAACAAACCAAAGGTTAAACATCCCCTTGCAACTTCACTGTTGTCAAATTGTGATATATCCACTTAGTCATAAAAGAATGTGAACAGTGTTATTGGATATCAAGGTAGTAGCTATGCAATTATAGAGTGGGGCATAGCCTTTCATTTAGATCTCTCTTTTTCAGTATCACTTAGAAACTTGTATGTTTAAAAAAATTTGCATTTGTCTCGAATTAGGTTACTTCATTTTACTTCTGTGTAGTTTTGGTAATTCTAAGATTGAAACAGATATGTTTTTCAAAAATATTTTTTCCTTTCTTTCTTCATTTAAGATTTGCCAATAAGGATATACGTGGTGGCTTCAGGTGCTATTTTTGTTTGTTTGTTTTTGTTTTCTTAATTTAAAAAAGAGGTATATATATATTTTTAAAAAGGTAGACTCATTTGTTGGTTATTCTTAAAAGTGGCATAAGTAGAAATATACAACTTAGACCTTGGCCAAAAATAACTCTTTTACTCCTAACATATTTAACATAAAATATATATTTTTTAAAGTTCTATTGTTTGAGGATTCTGACATTTTATTTGGTGATTAATGGTATTTTTATAGCGATCTAGCCAGAGGGCTAAGTTAGTTTCTATTTCCTTTCTCCCCTCTGCCTTCAATCCTTAAACAAAAAACGTCAGTCCTAGAACAATTTTTTTTGCCCTCATAAGGTCTTCATGCTGTCATTCTTCCTAATGCTTCTCTATCCCCTCCCCAGCCTCTCTAACTTTCCTTAGAAGAAGGTCTGGGAAATGCTAGTCCTGTCTTCTTTTTTCTAGAATATGTGACTTAGGCAGTAAATGTAGCAGGAGCCCTGGGTACTTGGAAGAGCAAGAAGATTGACTCAGGCTGCCAAAGGTTTGCTCTTGTAACTCTGGGCTCAGGGATGGCAGAGTTAGCCAGAGAGAAAGGGTGGGTCATGTGACAAGTAGATTCCTGTATCTTTCACCAAAAGTAGGGAGATGTTTTAGAGAAGCTTAGGAACAAACCATGGAAAGAAACAGGGTCCTAGATTCTGAAAATATATCTGACTTCCTGTGCCCAGTGTGTTGGCTCTTGTAGGTCTGTGAATTTGTAAGTCCCTTTGTAAGTCTATTTTGGTTTTCCATTTCCTTTTGTATTAAAGAATTTTCCAATATGTTTATTTTGGTGATCTTTTTTGAGATTTTTTTTCTTTTTGAGATTTTTTTTCTTTTTGAGATTTAAGGTTTTATACAAAACAAATCTTGTGGTTAAGAGGACTTAAAAAGATAAAACCATAGACTATTATATCTAGAAGAGAACTTAGAAATCACCTGGTTCCACATTTCCTTTGTAAAGATAATTTAAAAAAAAAATTGAAGCTGGAGAGATTAGGTAATTTGCTAAGTACTACAAGGCTGCAGTAGAGCTGAAACCAAACCCCAGAGGTCCTGACTCAAGTCTAGAAACATATTCTCCTCCTCGGGGGCCCTATAAGTATATAAATTCTTCTTCATCTGATGGATTAGATCTTTCTATCCCAGACATTTCATCTGTGATTCCTTTTCCTCCCTCTATCCCTTCCTCCCTCCCTCTTTCTTTTTCTTTTCCTTTTCCTTTTCCTTTCCCCTCCCCATTTCCCTTCCCTCCCCCCGCCCGCCCCTTCCCCTTCCCCTTCCCTCTCCTTCTTTTTTGAGAAGCGGTCTTTCACTGTTACCCAAGCTGCATTGCAGTGGCACAATCATAATTCACTGCAACCTCGAACTCCTGGGCTCAAGACGATCCTCCCATCTCACCCTCCAATTAACTAGGCTTACAGGCATATGCCACCATGCCCAGCTAATTTTTCACTTTTTTGTAGAGACAGCTATGTTGCTAAGGTTGATCTTGAACTTCTGGCCTCAAGTGATCTCCCGTCTCAGCCTTCCAAAGTGCTGGGATTACAGGTGTGAGCCACCATGCCCCATCTGTTTTTGTTGTTGTTTTTTGTTTTGTTTTTTGAGTTGGACTCTCACTCTGTTGCCCAGACTGGAGTACTATGGCTGGATCACTGCTCACCACAGGCTCAAACTTCTGGACTCAGGTGATCCTTCCGCCTCAGCCTCCTGAGTGGCCACCATGCCTGGCTATTTGTTTTTCTTGTTGTTGTTTTTCTTGATATTTTGTAGAGATGAGATCTTGCTATGTTGCCCAAACAGGTCTCAAAGTCCTGGGCTCAAGTGATCCTCCTACCTTGGCTTCCCAAAGTACTGGGATTACAGGTGTGAGCCATTGCACCTAGCCTGATTTCTATTTTTAAGTAGAAACATTCACGTAACTTTTTCTGAAATTTTAAAAACTTTACATATGTAGTTTAAATTTTTTGCTTTGTTTATTCTTTTATTCTCTCTCAACAAAATACCTAAATATAGCAATCTTAGTGGTTCCTTATGTCCTTTTGGCAAAATACAGAATGTTTACAAAATTTATAGCATGGGCTTTTAATATTAGGTTACTTAGACTTTAGAAAATCATGTAATTCTATTTTTAAGGTTGTTGTATTTTACCTGTGTACCCTGGAAGCTGCCTTATTTCCTTTGACTCTTAATAAAATTTAGTTAGCAAAGATAGAACCCAGTTAATGTCCAATTTCATATTTTACATGAGTGTTTATTACATGGAGAAATCAGAGCTCAAGCTTTTTCCTTTGAGGTGTAAGTATCATGATAGTTAAAGAATAAGAAAAGCTTTTCCAGAAGGTATACTCACATGAATGATAGGTTTCTTAATAAGTCAGGCCTAAACAAGAAATAAACTTGAGAGAGTAGCTCTCAGATGCAGAGATGTAAGCAAGCTGGGTGTTCAGAATATTGGTTTGGTAGGGGTGGGGGTCGGTGTTGAACAATGAGGTATTAAAAGAAGCAGCAAATGGCTTTGTATACTTTTTGCGGGGGGGGAGGGGAGGGACTTCTCTGTAATTGTAGCTGACCAGTTAGTTTGGAGAGATATGTAGTCCCCCCCTTACCTATATCTGGTTATAGAGCCAAGATGTGGCCTTTGGGACATAGATAATGTACTTTCAATGACACTTGAAATTAATTCCCTTTAGTGTAATCCTCTAGCAAAGAAATGAGAAAATTGAATTTGTAAAGCTTCATTTTTCCCAGAGATTTTTGGAATAGAAAAAGACTGAAAATTTGTGAATAGATGCTTAAGTAGGTGATGGAAATAAAATATCATTTGAGCAAACTGTCCTATACCAGAAAGTCTCAGGCACCAAAATAGCTTGGCAGGTTGCAAGATAATGTTCACTTCAAGGCTTTATCCTCAACAAATTAAAACTAGAACAGTTGACATAATAGAAAGGGATACTGTGTCCTTGGTACTCTTGTTTCTGAACTGCATTATTATAAAATGTGTCTGTCAGTAAATCATAGAGAGAATGTGGTACCCTGTTAAATAGCTGTCAACTCTTCTATTTTCAAGTTCCTGGTTGTTTTTCAAGTAATTCTAAACCTGTTTGAGAAGTAATATTGGTTTCCCTTTTTGCAGAAATGTGTTTCTTTAGCAATACTTGTGTTCTGAGGCTTCCGGCTATATTTTTAGCAAATAAAGGATTTCTTAAATAATGAACTAGCCTTATAATTGAGTATGTATATAGACTGTTATGTTTTTGGAGGGGTCACAGGTTGGTAGGCTCTATTAATGAATGCTCTCTGCGTGTCTGATATTTAGTAAACACCAAAGACAATTTAATTCCCTAGTCTCATACATTGTACTAAAAAACTGAAGGCGCTTTGAGTATAGCAGTTAATTCCCTTCTCCACAGTGGCACCTCTTATTTTAGAAAAACGATTGGGTGATATTATTTGATTACAAATTTTAAGATGACTCCTTTACATCAATCTCAGAAAGTGGATTTTGATAACAACATACAGTTGTCTCTCACACTGGCTGCACTATCCATTGGACTATGGTGGACTTTTGATAGATCTAGAAGTGGTTTTGGCCTTGGAGTAGGAATCGCTTTCCTGGCAACCGTGGTCACTCAACTGCTAGTTTATAATGGTGTTTACCAGTAAGTGTTAATCTTTTTGGTGCTTGTTTGCTACATAAATAAATAACTGAGAATTGAAATCCCATAATTGATATTTTGAAATTAGGTTAGCCAGTTTAGTCTACAGTTTATTTTCCTTATGATTATCTTAAATGTCATTGTACTTTCTCTGTGGGTTGTTAAAAATATTTCCATTATTCTAGATATACATCTCCAGATTTTCTCTATGTTCGTTCTTGGTTACCATGTATATTTTTTGCTGGAGGCATAACAATGGGAAACATTGGTCGACAACTGGCAATGGTAAGCAGATGCTTATTTAACCACTTTTCTGTATGAGATATATGACAAGTTTTCTCTACATGGCAGTCCTTTAAGGGAGAGGAATTTGGGAAGACAACATTCTTTGATTTCTCTCTAGCACTTCAATTAAAATAAGTCATTTGGAAGAATTTATTCACAAATGTATTAAAAGTTGCGGCCCCCGGAGAAAAAAGCCCCAAATGGGTAACATGATATGATTTACTGCTCATATGGGGATGTATATTTATTTACAAATCTACAGGTTTCCACTACATGAAATAGGGATAGTCTTAAAAATGTAAAGGGACACTACTCATAACCACATTGTTACATTAGATATAAATTAGGACTGTCTCCAGGAAATCAAGATGTATTTTAGTTATGAAGGAAAAGGACACTGTTGATAGCCCTAGTCATGAGTGGCAAGGGTTAGAGAGTAACATCCTGAGACAGTAGTTTCATGAATAAATGCTGCCATTTTACCATTTTGGCAGCTAGGAGAATTGAGTGATTTGCTTTGCTGTTTTTTATTTTTTATTTTTATAAACTAGCTTCCCAATTATTCTAACCCACTGATTTCCTTTATTTTGAGTTGTGGGTACATTTCTGTAACTGTACTTTAAAAATATTATTTCAACCAGAAGCTTTTGCTAATGTAATAGATTTTTTTTTCACTGAATCATACAGTGATTTGAAAAAACAGTGATCTGAAGTCACTACCTCAGTCCTGTCCTTAAATTCATTACCTATCCTTTGCTAATTCACTTTACCAAGCACTGAAAGAAACCTGCTTTGCTTCCTTTCATGTTACAGGATTGATCTAAATCATATGCTGCTATTATTTGCTTGTAATGCAGAAACTTAATCTTTTTCCTGCTTTTTTCAGTGGCTCTTTTGCTTTTAGGATGTGAATTATCATTTTCCCTATCACATTTGCCATTTAATTCTGGTAATTATGTAACTCTCAGATTCTTTGAGGCATAAAATGGGCATATATGAATAAAGTGTTCATTTTTAGTGTAGTTGAAAATTGCTATTCAGAAAAAATGTAGCTTTTTACTCTGTTAACCTTTTAATATTTTACTTTTGCAGTATGAATGTAAAGTTGTTGCAGAAAAACCTCATCAGGAATGACTAAGGCAAAAGTATCTTCTGTACAGAAAAACAAGATGAAAGGGACATGTAAATGATACACCAACAAAACTTGGGACTGTAAAATTGCCAGGATGCAGCTTCTCCCTTGATTGGTATATGTGTGTATATGTACACAGACACACATATATATTTCTGCAATCTGTGATTGCTTCATCTGTAAATCTTAAAAATCTTTGTGTATTTTACTTAAAACAACTGTAAGATATATATATATGTACTACATTAAAAAATGTTGATTGATAGATGAAATTTTTAAATTAATTTTTTAAACATGCCATATATTGTATCACAAGGTTGATGTGCCAAAATATTCTGTTACTGTCTTGCAGAGTTTAATGCTTTGAACAATTTATAACTTAGTAAAACAAGAGAAAAGCCAAAAATCAGAAAGCAAATGGGAAGCTGGTATTTTCTTTCACTTACTGTTGTGCCTTTTTATTTTTCTAATCACAGCAGTATGAGTGCCCTAATGAGTGGTTACTTTCTGTTTTAATATTGTTTCAGTGAGATTTGAATGTTTTAAATATTTAGTGAAAATGAACTTTCAAAAAAATTTTTATTTTGAAGGTGGGTCCAATTCAGGGTTGGACATACAAATGGTCATCACACAGGTAAAGTTTGGGCCTCACTTTGGTCCCCACTTCACCTGATTTGATATCAGGTACCGTTATTGATGAAGTGTGTCCCCACCTTCCCCTAGCAGTTTACCACTAATGCCAATCCCTTTCTTATGGTGTGAAGATGAACTTCTGTGGAATGTTTTCAAACCTGCATTACTGGAGGGAACCTAAAAGAGTAATTTTCTGTTTTGACAGATTTTACTAGAAGTATATGTGATGAGCAGGAGGGGTTATCAGCACTAAAATCTTTTGAGTCTAAATTTGGATGAATTTATATACTTAAAAGTAGAAACCATTAGGGAACTGAATTAGAATAATTATACGTTTTGGAAATACAAAGTGACCTACAGTGCCACAAAGTGTAAAGCAATATTGACTATCATCTGTAATACAGAATCTCACTGCTTTTGTACATGAAACATATAAGAAATGCCAAACAGATCAAATTGAACTTTCTAATTCTATTGAGTTCTATAATCTGTTGGGTTTTATAAGGCAAGCCACTTAAATTGGGCTTAGTCATATAACTGATTGTCAGTGGAATGCTTGAATCTTCACTTCTACCATGTGCAGTCTGGGGAATGGATGGGTACGTAATTTCATTATGTATTCATGTGTCCATTAAGTGAGTAGTTCAAGTCAGTTTAAGAATGTATTAAGATTGCATTCTATGCACGTTAAAGAGCTTGATAACAGTTGGGCGGATCTTTCCAACAGCTAGCGCCATTTAAATATGGTTTAAATGTATTCTTAGCTAACTTTTTTTCCCATCAGTTTTTTGAAGTTGGTGACAATTGTTTGATACATAAGGGCAAAATCTTCTGAGTCCTCTGGGGTGTGTGTGTGCACGTGTGTGTTGGAGTGAGTGAGTGAGAGAATGTGTATATGATGTGCATGTGCCCAAGCTTTCCTAGAATATCAAAAAGATATTTTTAAATGTTTAGTTTTAAAGCAGTTGCTACAGACTGAAATCTTGTATGCCAAACTACTCTGCTTCTATGTTTTCAGGCTGAAAGTGTGAAAATCCTGAGAGGATTTCACATCGAGTATGTGTACACAACCTTAACTATTGTGGTGGTCAACATACTACTATAATTTATTATTCTATCTTCCAGATAATGTTATTCATTTAGAACAAATAAGGTATATTTTTAGAATCAACTTTGTAAGCGCTATAAAATCTTTAATAAGTTATAAGGTCTATGCTGTGTTTCCTTTGAAAATTGCTGTTAAAAAAGCAAGATGTATTAAATATGTAATTATCATCTTGATTAACAGTCTTTTTTTCCTTCTTTGTGGTCTTGGAATATAGTACTATGGATTAATCTACTAAAATTAACGTGTGGTTGAATTTACCAAAAAAACGATGAAAGGAGACTAAATGTCGGCGACCCCTGAACAACACAGGGAGGTTAGGGGCACCAACACCCCACAGAGTTGAAAATCCGAGTACTGTATAACTTTTGACTCCCTTAGAAGATAACTACAATAACCTGCTGTTGATCGGAAGCCTTATCGATAGTACAGTCAGTTGACACACATTTTGTATGTTACATGTCTTATAGATTGTATTGCAATAAAGTAAGCTAGAGAAAAAATGTTATTAAGAAAATCATAAGGAAGAAAAACACACTATTAGGTGGGAGAGCATTATCACGAAGGTCTTTATCCTTGTCATCTTCACATTCAGTAGGCGAGGGAGGAGGTCTTGCTCTCTCAGGGGTGGCAGAGACAAGAAAATCTGTTAGTGGATCCACATGGTTCAAAACCATGTTGTTCAGGGTTAATTGTGTATGATATTGGTGAGATTGAATGATTGTCATAGGGATTCTTAAATTATTTTCAGATCACCTTGAAAATAAAAGATAATTATGGCAAACAAGGAAATTGTTTTACCATTTTGATAAATATATACATAGAGTACCGCCTTTTTTGTAATGAAAAAATGGTAAACATTTTTACATTTTTTAAACGGCTATATTGATAGTGTCTTCTTGCTTTTATTATTTAAAATTGTGAAGACTTGGACAGTTGAAAACTGGGACTAAATTATACAAAAGCACAAGAAACCAATTCGAATGATATAAAATTTGTTCATTTACACTGATCTGTATTACCTTCATTATGGCCATTGGGAACGCTCAATGGTGCATATGTTTCACACATCTTGTATTTTCTAGGTAGAACCCAGACTTGGTCAATATTGTTAAATACTTCTGTACTCCTTTTGGCTCACTTAGTCTCCATAATGAAGTTTATTCTGTATAAGGTAATTCCTCCAGTTATGGTCTGAATAGTAGAGTCTTAGCTTTGTGTGTTTAAAAAAGTCTGTGTCATTCTTGAAGATAATTTAACAGACTGTAAAATTTTAGGTTCACAGTCCCCCCCCCCAGCACTTGGAAGATTTTTAACTCATCTTCTGTCTTCTAATATTAGAGGCAACAAGTTGGCTGTTAGTGCAATCGTTCCTTGTATACAGGCTATCTTTTCACTCCAGGAGATTTAACATGATTTTCTCTTTATCCTCAAGGTTTTTCAGTTTCAGTATGATTTGGTGAGTATGATTTGGTGAGTTTCAGTATGATTTGTTTTTATTTTTCTCACTTGGCGTTTGATATGCAGTTTCCATCTGTGGGTTCGTGCCTTCAGTTCTGGAAAATTCTCAAATGTGGCTGCATACTGGAATCATAGGGGGGCTTGTAAAAAAAATCTTGATGCCTGGGATACAGTTCATCCCCCAACTCTGATATAATTGGTCTGGAGTATGCCCTGAACATTAGGGGTTTTAAAATTCACAGGTGATTCCAATGTCAGCCCAGGTTGCCACTTGCTGGTGTAGTTACATGTAAAATAAGGGAGAGGGTCTGTGACATTGGAAATGGAGAATGGGGATCACATTTTGGAATACAATCACCTGAAGTGGTGACTTGGTGTGAAGGTTAAGGAAGAAGAAGAGTCGAAGATGACTTAATTTTTCCATCATGGGAAACTAGGTGGATGATACAAGGGGGACCCCCAAAAACCCAGAATTTATTTATAAAAAGCTGTATATTTATTCTTACACGCTTAAACTTCAGTCACCTTCAAAGTACTCTTCGTTTGATGCAATACACCTACCAAGACACCTTTTCCACTGGTTCTTCCACCAGGACGACAAACCTGCCCACAACACACTGAGTGTTCAGCAGTTTTTGACCAAAAATGGCATAATCCCCTGTGCCCCCCTATCCCTACTCACCCGAAAACAATTTTTGAAATTATTTTCGAAAACAATTTTTGAACTTGTCGATTTTGATGGCTTTTAGTCCTGCCATTTTTTGTTTCACCTCTTCCACATCAGCAAAATGTTTTCCTTTGAGGACTTTTTCATCTGGGGAAACCAAAAAAAAAAAAAAAAAAAAAGTCCCTCAGGGTGAGATCGGATGAGGAGGGATAGGGGGGCCCAGGGGGTTATGCCGTTTTTGGCCAAAAACTGCTGAACACTCAGTGTGATGTGGGCAGGTTTGTTGTCATGGTGGAAGAACCAGTCACCTGTTTGCCACAAAAAAATTCAGGGAAGTCAGATGCAGCTTCTTTCAACAATACTAACTGGTACACTGATGCTGATGAATTCCTAGAACACTTACTTAGAAGGGGAAGCTTGTACTACAAGGGACTTGCCCTCTCAAAAGATAATTCTTTTTTCTTTTTTCTTTTTTTGGTGGGGGTCCCTCCTTGTATTTCCATAAACTAAAAGAGAAACGCAGAGAAGCAGGTGCATGGGTAAAGTTAATGGATTTGGTTTGATATGTTGAGGTTGAGTTATACAGGGCAGTGGTGCCCAACCTTTTTGGCATCAGAGATCCAGTGAAAATTGGAGACAGTTTTTCCACGGACCAGGGTGAGCGGGGGATGGTGTGGGGATGGTTCAAGTGCATTACATTTATTGCACAGTTTATCTCTATTATTATTACATTGTAATATATAATGAAATAATCAGACAACTCACCATAATGTAGAATCAATAGGATGCCTGAGCTTGTTTTCCTGCACTTAGATCCGGTCCCATCTACAGATGGTGGGAGATGGTAACAGCCGAAATGTGTTGCTTATGTCCAATCTACTCTGCAATCTCATTTTGGTTGCTGTCACTGCAGAAAAGAATGCTTCACAAAGATGGGATGTTGGATGTGGAAGCAAGCTTTTCGGTGCTTTTGTGCCAATTTCAAGTTATTCTGCTTTGTCTTTAATTCAGAATGTATGGAGGTTTGAAGTTGACTCAAATATACTTTTAAAGCCACTGTCATTTGCAACCTCAAGCAGTTGATCCTCTTCTAGCATGAACAAAGTCGATTCACCTGGCTTATTCATAAATGGGTTACAGATCCACTCCTTCCTAGTTCGGGGTCTTTTGTGGTTGGGAAGTAATGCTCAAACTCTTTTGAAAGCTGAGATAGGTGATCAGGCACCAGCTGGGAGAAAAAAGGCCCTGGCTCAGTCTCTTTTAAAGTCTCTGCACATGTTTAAAACATGTCAAAAACCCCAATGTCCACTCGTCACTCCCATAATTTCAGCTTGGTTTTGAATGTAGACACTTACTCTCTGACTCGAAAACAGTTGTTGTTTTCCCCTGAAGAGACAGATAGAGTT